CTGTTCAGGCTTACATACGAAGACTAGATATATATTATGTCTAGATACATGGTAAAAACTATGTATCTAAAGAAGCAAAACCGACTTACAATTTGGAAAAGAGAGAGTAAGAAGGAAAATGGTTACTTGGTGCATGGCAACAATAGTGACAAAATATGCCGATTCAATTAACAAAGATGTTCATCTAAGTTTCATTCTTCGTTCCAAAAATCTGAGACAGTACAAAATTTAGCAAGTACATGCTCAGGTCTCACAAGACCCGAAGGCATCTATCTAAAGGGAGCCACTAAACTAAGAGCATTGAGGTGAAAGCTGTTATTCATCAACTGTGAACTTTCAAGTTAGATCAGAGATCTCCAAACACAGAGAAGACTTGGCCATGACTTGCACAAGGGACCCAAAAGTAGTGGTTGCCAAAAATCCAGTTTCTTATAGTGGCAGCTGCATCTTCTCAAAAACTATTATAGCAATAATCGGCCCTGCAACATCTCCCAAGGCACAACCTGCAAGGTATACAAAGATACAGTTAAGCGATGTTACATTGAAATGATGCTAATGTACTGACCTTATTCTGCTAGTTCAAAGTGAAACTTGAAAATATATATGTATTTCTATTAAGTGAGGAAATGAATGCTTGCAAAAGTATTGTAGCATCTTAGTATATGCACTCAAGATATGACTCACCAAACCATTGTCCATGCACTGGATGCACGAGGGCACCAATGCCTGCTCCAACCGAGGCCAAAACCAAAGAGAAACAACTTTTGATGGTAATCCCATAAATCTTCCTCCCAAACAATCTGAACTTATTCATATAAAAAAACTGGTCATCGCTTTCATAGTCATCGCTGGGCTTACGGATGAAACATCTGTATACTTCAATTATGGATTGCACTACCCAAGCAGCAGATACTCCCAGTGCATGTGCTGTCCAAAGAAGAAACTTGAGAGAACTCTCTATTAAAAGAAATCAGAAACAACAATACAAGCAAATCTGACCTCGGAAGGTTGTTCTGGCAACACAGTATGTGTACTGTGGAGTTGACATCCCCCTTGCAGCTTTCCTTTTTGATGATTTTGAAGCATCTATAGAAAAGATAATTAGCTATAATTTGCATAAAAATTGTGATAATAATAAGACATAAAATTGAAACAAACGAATTGGGTGAGAGCGAGGCAGATAAATAGATTCATAGAAGCATCATCATATATGTCATATGACCACAGAAAGAAAATGTAGCTAGCATATCTATACATGTGGAGATACATGTATAAGCTGCAAAAACACAAGCTCAGGTAAAGATTGGCAAAAATCTAAGCGCTTGATTTTTGGCAGTTTGGGTTGGTTATCACACAAGTTCAACCAAAAGTAAAGGCAGAACAAGCTTGTTCATGAGAGTGCTGCTCCTAATGGTTGCATTTGCCTTTTCCAGTGGGTCATACATGTTGATCTCATTTTAATCTTGATTATAATATTCCTTATTGTACGTGGCTAACTCCATTCAAAGTCAAAATATATGGCCATTAATGAGGAATCAAAATGTGATAACTCCATTAAATGTTTTTCCACTTGCTACACCTATTTCAATGAAAATGTGGTTAAACTGTTCATAAAATTTATAGCGTCATGTGTAGTCATCAGAATTATATTTTCTGAAACTTGGTGTGTCCTTGGTCTGTGTACAAGGATCAAGGTGAAATAGAGATTAGTGCTCTGGCATCTAATTTCCAAATATCACACCATTCACAGATTGTAAGAAGTGATTGGGCTGAAAAGTTTAAAAGGCCAACAGTTAAGTTCTAAGTTACTCATTTAATTCCTGTAAAAACAGAATTTATTTGAGACATAGGGCATGTCTCTAGAGATCTACATAGCACATCAATATCAGAACAGAGATAAGAACCATGCCAGATGGCACTGGAAGGACAAATGATTAAGAAATTTAACAGAATTACAAAGTAATGTGGTCAACAATTTTTGTCAAGCCTGTTGACAACATGGTTCGACATATTTATAGTTACTGGTTTCTGAAGCAACACATTAAAATTCCCTACAAGATATAATACAATGCCTGTTTTCATCAAACAAAGGATCCGTAAAACCACAATAACCCAATGCATAGTGGTAGGACTTAGAAATATCAACAGACCTCATCAGATGTCACAAGCACACAACCCTCTCCAGTAAGTTTTTTTTTCTCGTACAGCGCAGGAGAACTGCGTGCCATTTCATTAAGGTAGAAAAAAATGTTACACGGGTCTAAGAGACCCAACTCAGTGCTGGGAAAATTAAAGAGGCATTATTACCTTTGAGAAGTTTCCATGCTGTTCTTTGTGAAACATGACGAACTACAATCCTTTCCAATACTCGTCTGGTCGTTACAATAGAAGTCTGAAATGTAAAGACAAGAATATGACATGTAAATAACTTATACTTCTAATCCAACAGAAAAATTGCACAGGCCTTTTGGCAAAGCTTAAGCTTGTACTATACCTAAACCTGGGAATGGATCGTGTAAACCCAAAGGCCGAAAGGGCCCCCAAACTCACGGGCCTAATTTTACGGATTGCATATGGGCCATGTAAACAAAAGATCGAGTTGGATTGGATTAGCTTGTAAAAAGGATGGGCCGTAGATACGGCCCGAGTCGTCGCACGGATCGCTGAACAGGGTCGGCCCGAGGATCTGAAAACGGATTTTGCCTCAGTCGAGGGGCGGCCGAGTGGGGCGGGTCTTGGGAGCTGAGGGGCGGCGGCGGCGCAGGTTGAGGAAGAGGAGGCGGCGGCGGCAGCAGCAGCGATTCGGTGTCCGAGATCCTTCCATCAGCGGCATCGCTTCTCCATCCGTCGCCATCGCTTCCTCAGGGCGGCGGTAGCAGCGATTCCTCAGGCCCCATCGCTTCTTCATCCGTCGGCAAGATCCGTCGGCAAGCGCGCAGGACGCCTCTCCGCTGCCAAGTCCACAAGGTAACAACTAATCCATCCCTCTGTCTATCTACTGGTATACTTGGTTCGGCAGGGGCCGTGTGAGGCCCCGCCCCGGTTCGGCAGGGGCCGGCGCTCCTCTACCACCTAGCCTAAGCTGCCGGCCGTTTCGTGGTTGCTGCTTTGGAGCTGGGGTGAACGGTGAACCCACCTCTAGAGTGGATTAACTATATTCAGATTTTGTGATTGCTGCTTTGGATCCTTTTTCTGCCATATACTTGGTGTCATATAGCAGTGTCTGTTTGAGATTATTCATATTTAGTGTGTTTTCATCAAGCAGGTACCCACCTCCGCTTCCTTCAATGTATTAAGCAGCCAACTGGTAGTGTCCTTTGGAGCTGGGCTAGAGCACAACTGTGAGAAACCTTGTGTTGGCGATTTGACGTCCTCCGTTATCCTTAGTTGAAGGAAGAACTTCAACCAGGTATTAAGTTTCCTACTAAGTTTGTTCGTTGGTTTTGCTTGTTCATCAGTGTGTGTTGATCTTTAGTAAGGAGCAAGTAAATTCTGTTCTGTGGCTTCTCTTCATGTGGATAAGAGGTGATGAACTGATAATAACTGGTGTTTTGTTAGAAATTGTTTTTTTCCGAAGCAACAAGGAAGGCATCACACTAGAGCTTGCCAAATATTGCTTGTTTATCTCTTGGTTCCTGCAATCCTGCTAGGTTGAAACTTGAAAGCAATAAGGCATGGTTTCCTGGGTCTAACACATGTTAGCTTCTCAGTTGCTGTGTTCTTCTAAATATGATTCATGACTGTTTGAACTTTAGTTAATCATGCTCAATTTGTTGTTGCCTTCTTACTCTGGATGACTGCAAATTACTGCAAGTATACAAAACGAATAGCCAATCATATTGGCTTCTCCAGTAAGTCTGGAATAGCACTTATGAACCCATGTTTACGAGAATCTTTATATTGTCACCCGAATAAAGCAATCACCAATCAAAGTAAGTGATCAAACATTTGTATTTTTAAATGATCGTATCTTAAGAGTATTTTTCTAAGACCATATCTTCTTCCATGTTCATTCAACACTAGACAACCTAAGAGTAGATGCTGAACCTTCAAGTTGCACGAATCGTTCAGCTATTATTCTTTGTTTTGGTAAATGAACTACTACTTTCTGTTTGACAGACATGCGGTGAGGTGATCAGTAATAAGTATTGATTTAAGGGAGATCATTTTGAGCATGTTATGATGGAGCTCTACTCTGGATATCTTGAAGATCATTTCAACCTCCACAAGCTAAGGTGAGCATTTCCTCTGATCAGATCCCCCTGTTTCATCTGAATGTTTTTTTTTTTTAATTTTTTTTGTCCATCTGATGCATAGAAAAAACGCCAATGTTCTGATGACTGTCCAATCAGTCAACTGAAGTAGAATGAGACGTGAAGCAAAAGAGGGAGAGCTAATAGCTTTGGTGCCACTAGCATTAATAGACTAGTAGTAGTTGATGAGAGGACTGAGAGACCGGTGATTCTAGCTAAGTCTGAATGCTCCTTAATGGACTTGACTCACTGAATTGCAATATTCAGACTGCGATAGTTGCTGATTTTACGTTACGCCTCTCTCTGAAACTTGACACTGCGTAACAAAAAGGTAGAAGTGTTATTGTAAACCTGAATGCAGATTCTCAATTGGGCAGAACGCAGATTTTATCTATATGGTGTTTTTATATCAGCAGACTGTTCTGGTCGATTATGAATGGTACTATTTCAGTTTGCCGTAGACGTAATGCTACCTGGTAAACACACTGTAAATGAGTTACTCCTAGGATAGAGAATCACACTAAAACAACGGCAGAGCAATAGCTTTCTGCAGCTTTTATCTTTCCTATGGAGAACAGCTGCAGAGCATTCGTCACACTCACACACGACGTCAAGCACCGTTTGCACCCAACTTCAGTCACAGCTCGACATCAGCTGCCTGTTAAACCTCTACTTTTAGTATCATATCTAATTGATTGTCATTCATTGGTTCAGGAGACTCTAATTGATTAGTCTGAGTGTGATATTATGGAGAGGGTTTCATCAGCAACAGCAGCAGAAGTTGAGGATAGTCTTGATGCTATCTCCACTGATCAGTCAGGCCGGTCAGGGAAAAAGAGGGCTAAAGTTTGGGCTTATGTTGACTCGGAAATCGTTGATGGAATTGAGAAGGCTGTGTGCAAGTATTGCAAGCTCCAGTTGTCTTCTGTGTCAGGGAAAGGGACAACTCACTTGAATAGGCATATTGGATATTATTGTCATCATATCCCTCAAGAGGACAGGGACAGATTCTTAGCAACTTTGAAGAACAAGTCTGATAGAGATAATTCTGTATTTGATCCTGTTGTATTCAGAGGTCTGATTGCAAAGTATTTCCTTAGTGCTGAGGTTGCATTTCGAAAAGCAGATGATCCTGCTTGGAAAGAGATGATAAATTATTGCCAGCCTTCATTCAATGTGGTGGGTCGACAAACTGTTCGTGCAGACTGTCTGATCTTGTATGAAGAAGAGAAATTACAGCTACATCAAAAGATTACAAAGTTGAAGTCTCATGTCAGTTTAACTGCTGATTTGTGGTCGTCAAACCAAAATCTGGGGTATCTTGGAGTTACAGCTCATTACATTGATGAAGAGTTTGAGCTCCATAAGAAGATTATTGCATTCAAGCAGATCTCTTTCCCCCATAACTCATTTGCTGTGCAAGATTTAATATGTTTAATATGTTTGTCTTGTTCAATGCAGGTCAACCAATGACTGGACAACGTATGTTTGAATCAGACGAAGAAGATGATGATTGACAGGTTAGTGCCCTAGCTGTTGGTTCACTAGGAATGTTGTCATATTCATTGTTTAAAAAACAACTTAATTAGACCCTTTATTTGCATGATTGATGTTTGCTATATGCAATTGATCTTCCTTGTCCACTTAGTTTTTGTGTTACTAATGCTAGTGTCACTGTTACTAATGTTCCATTTATTATTTCGCCAATTTCTAGAATATTGAACTGTGTTTTCTGCTTGAGATAAATTTCAAAATGGAGATGGATTTTTTTTATATGTTACTTCAACAATGCTACTGCTAAATGTCCTCCACTAGCAACATGTGTGTCCTGTCCAAGTTGGTAAAGAACATGATTTTTTCTTAAGCTCAACACTAGTACCGTGATATGAAATTTTTTAAGGTAGAGCATAATGCTTGCTTTCATTCTTAATTTGGATTGTAGGCTACTAAAACTGTTATTACATATTTTCATGATCTACACAATTAATTGTGATTATAGCCATGTTAACTTCAAAACCAGCTCCATGTCATTTTCCTGCTCTATATATTCAGTATATGCAAGCTCTGTTCTTTTGTAGCTCCATTCAGCAGTTAGGCATTGTGTTGTCTGAATTTTGCAGCACGTCAGTGCATAGCTTTGCTATGGTTTCAGGTTTGCCTGGTGCAGTTCGAGTGAGAGGAACTGCAGTCCATGAACTCATTTGTATGCATTGTCATTTCCATGACACAATGATCACTAGTTAAATAATTATTGCATGTTTTGTCTTAAGTGCTTATTTACTGAACTGAGCAACGTCTTGTCCTTGTTCATTCACAAGCCTTTTTAGCTAGCTCATGTGATGTCTCGGTATGCATGCATATATGTACTGTATTGATCTCATTTGGTCACTAGCATATCAGCAGTACTTTTGGAAGTTTTGAGTTAATCTCTGTGCTGATCCTTATTTGCTCTTGCCGATTAAAAATATATGCATGTGTTTCAGCTCATATATGTACTTGCTCACTTAGGTTTATTTCTTGGGAGGCAGCATTGTGTAACGGTTAATTAGTGATTAATTAATTCATGCTTTGCCGCTCGCTTCTGTGCCGCTTTGACAACACAATGCCTAATGTGTGCTGAAAATGTCCAAATGTGTGTTGTCTTAATGTGTGGGGCTGGTTATGGTGAGGTGTGGTGGTTGCTGTTTTTCAGTTTAGTTATCATGTCTTGCTGTTTTTCTAGTGCTTAAGTGCTTGTACTCATTTCCTGTCATTTGCAACAGCCATAGCTTCTACTACTCTCCTATATGGCAATAGCTGCTGCTACTTTAGATAGGCAATAGTCTTCTTAGTACAAAGATAGGCATGAGTACTTCTGTTCATGCTTTACATGTTTCTTGCATTTTAGATTTTAAAATAAGATTTTCAGTGTTGCTATGTTTCAGGTGCAAGGATCAAATTATTTTGGAAGAAAACTGGTAGTTCTACAAGATGCAGCTGGCAGTCTTACAATGGCATTGTTAGTGAGAAATTGTGACTTATGTCATTCAGAGAAGGACAATACATATTTGCATGACATTATTTCTTATTTTCTTGAATTAAATCAATTTGCACGGACATATGTAGCAGATGGATGGAGAAACTTGGATCCGGCTACATGTTATTTTTTATTATTTTTCATCTTTTTAAATTAAATTAACATATCAGTGCTAGTGACCGTGCTCGTGATTTGGTTAATCAGGGCCTTGTACTCATTGCATTACTGTACATGTGCTTGTGAGAGCCCTTAGATTGCATTTAGGATCCGGCCCGAGGATTCAAAAAGGGCTGGGGCTAGATTAGGATGGTGCGACGTGTAGGATTGGATTGAACCGAGCTGAAACAAATCAGTAGGTGCTAGGATCGGGCTGGGTGTAATAATTAATCACATAGGACTGGAGTGGGGTTGGGGCCGGATCACAGCCCATTATCAGGCGGAACTATACCACTTAGGTCTCAGGTTATACGTACCATAAACCTCCTTGCTTAATGGGTTACATTATTTGGGTTTTCTAGTACAAAGTAAACCTAGCCATTCACGATAATCCCAGGATGCCCAGCTGCTTGGCCTTGATTGAGATTCCAAGCCCCAAACCACATGGATACTAGGAATAAAGTTATAGTTCATATAGATGAAGAAACTATTACTATTTTGATGGTAGTAAGGATGGAAAACTAACATCACAGAAATAATTCTTAAAAAGTGCAGCAAGCATCAAATCTGCATGGATCAAAATGCAAGTTTTGTGAAAGAAAAAAGAAATAAAGAAGCAAGAAGCTCCTTTCAGGTGTTACTATCAAGTTACACATTAGAAACATTCAATGTCAAGGTAATGAAGTGTTACAATTAGAACATACTGCAACTAATCAACCAATCTGGCCATCAAGCGTTTTTATCACACAGTTTGACTAAAGAGCATTTGTAGAAATTCATTATTTAAAGTTTTATTATAATGCTTCCTATTGGCGAGGCGTAGTAGCCAGTTTATGAAAGCCTGCTATACACAGAGAATTGATCACATTATCCATAAAGTACATCATAATAAAAGAATCATAATAAAAGAAGTTACCTCACGCATGATTTGCTTCACTGAATTGTAGAAGGGAGTAACCAGATCCACAGGTTTCTCTTGAGCATCATGAAGCAGATCGTCATCCTCATCCTCAGAATCAGTGTGAGGTTTAGGTTGTATGAGTGGCAAATAATATAACAGAAAAGACCTCAGGGTTGTGATAGTAAAATTTTTCAACCCAAAGGCAGAAAAGAGTGGCTTCAGCTCCGAAGGGTATTCCTTTGTTGTGTTGTGGAAGTAGTCTTTTCTTGCATATTGCATTTTGTCAAGAATCTTGGTATTAAGCTCATTAACAAGTTCATCAGAACCATCATTCCATCCAGCAGTTGTGCCAGCATCACAATGAGCAACAGTAAACCCATGAAAACTGAATAAAAAATGCAGTTAAATAGTGTCAGGACAATAAAAAGAAATGCAAGTAAGCAAAAGAAAACTGGATGCACTACCAAGGCCAACAAGCAGCACATAAAGATATGATTCAGCATGCATTTACATATGGTAGAAATAAAAGCTTGTTTTCGTTTTCTTTGCCGGCTAAGTGCATCACTTGCATTTGGTGAACTGTCCATTAGATTGGAATTTGTGTTCTGCCAGCATAACACAACAAAATTCCAAATGTACAATGATGTAAATTTAGGGCAAGGGCATTTGTGGCCATAATCAGATGCGCGTTATGAAACTAAACAACATGTACTGTATACATTGGCTAATTCACATACATCAAGGGCATATAATGACATATAAGCCAAGTAAAACACTTGTCTCATGGACAAGAAAAGATTATCCTTACAAGAACCTGTCACATAAATTAACTAATAATTTCAACAAGGTAAAAGGTAAGCTTCACAAGGATCAGGAGACCAGTCAGCATTAGTGCAAGCTTACAACCTGTGCTCAGTTTACTTATGTTGTATAAGAACCAACTACATAGTCAACACAACACTCTGATACGACTACAGAATTACTAATAAGAAAACATGACTTCTCCCAGACATAAACATTTAATTCTCTAAGTTACATCACAATCACGGCAAAGTTACTCCCTGGTTGTATATACCATACATCAGCTGGATAAGAATAGTTCTCAATGAGCTTCTAGATATCAAACAGCCAATACAGAATCTGTTTACTGAGGAGAAGTGTTGCGTATAATCAAAATTTGACCTCACAGAACTATAATGTATCTTTCTGCCGATTATTATCTTAAAAAAATCACATCTTTCTTCTTCCTGCTTCCCTGCTGTGATCAGATGGAGCGACTAATTAACATGCGGAGACTGAACCATGCACCACCGGAACCCAGCGCGCCGGCTAAACCGCGAACCAAACCCTAGTCAAAACCTGCTAGGCAATGAATCGAACACCTCCACCGCGACACGGGCAGCCGTGCTCCGGGCAACCAAGCACGCCACGGGGAAGAAGTCACCAGCTCACAGGGAAAGAAGCCTAGCTAGACGTGATGGAGTTGGGGCGATAGGGGGAGGGGAACGAACCCGAAGAGGTGGCGCGCGGAGAGGGGCACCCCGGAGGACGAGAAGGCGGCCGCGGCAGTCGCGGCGAAGGCGGCGGCGGAGAGGCCGGGGTGGGAGTGGGCGGCGGCGGATGCCCCGGCGCGGGGCAGGCGGGAGGTGAGGTCGAGTAAGAGAGCGACGCCGACCGTCATGGCGCGGGGATCTCGAGCGGGACGGGAGCTGGCGGGGATGGCGATGGCCGAGCCGACCGCGCGGTGTCGGGTTGGCGTGGAGAGAAAGAAGCAGAAGAGAGGACGGAGGAAGAGCCGATGAGGCGAGGCATATACGGGCCTGGTCCGAGTTAGGGCCAGATTACCCCGACCACGACGTGCAAGCTATGGACACTTGTTTCCTTCACCTTAGGAAAAATAAAGTTTTTTTATAGGTTCCTCTCTTCCTGTTCTCACCTCATCAAGACTGCAAAGGTGCCGCTAGGGCTGAACAAAAGTTACTTTTTGTTGGCGAATGTTGGAAAAGTAGATTTCCACCAGGTATGAAGTGGTGGAACCTTCGCCTAGGCGGAGGTCCTAGGCGATGGTAGAAGGAATGATAGATGGGCCCGAGTATAATTAGAGTCTCATAAATGTATTTACCGACCTCTCTTACACAGAGTTCAAGTCTCCCTTTTTATAGGATATTGTTGGCTATTTTTTCCCCTTTTACATTCTTGCCCTATGCCAGCTTAGTACATTCCCGAAATATTTCTATGCTAACTTAGCATCGCTAGGTGCAATCTCGCATTTTTCTTCTACACCGCCTACGGCTCCTGGGCCTTTACCAGTGGCCCATGGGAGGCCCATCTCCGGCCTTGAGTTCCTGCGCCGCGCAAGGCTTCTCTTTGCCATCGCAGTCATCATCCTCCGCGGCTTGGTCTTCGCCTCGATCCATCTCCGGGGGCCTTCGGAGCCATGTCATGTGCCTTCGCCCCTCTACAGGCTAGAGGCGAAGACCTTGCCTGGCGTGCCTTTGTCTCCGCCCGGATCGTCTCCGCCTCCGTGTTCTAGATCTCCGTCGAACCCTCGAGCAGGTGCGAAGGCTTCTCCATGGACTCCTGCACATCATTATACACGCAACCCGAAGGTATTAGTACTTGCGTTCTGTAACGTCTCGCCTTCTCGAGGCCAGGCCCGCTTACATCTGATAGCTTTTCTAGGACATAGACTGCCCTCACAGACCAACACCAGTCTTTTCTGCGCACTTTGTCCTCACTCATGCGCCCCGGGAAGAACTTCCCGGTCGGTCACCCATCGCTCCAGGCCAAGCACGCTTAACCTTGGAGTTCTTAAGAGATGAGCTTCCAGAAAAGAAGTTGCAACTTGTTGGTACGAGTATCCTATTAATCCTATTAAGCCCTGAGCCGGGATGTTACATCCTCACCCCCTTAGGAGACCGACGTCCTCGTCGGTCAACCCTAGGCCAGGAACCGTCCCCTCTTGGCCACGTCTGTGTGTCCAGTGCCAGCGCATGTGCCATGTTGGGTGACCACTCTAGGTCCACACCAGCCATGCGCACCATGCCTGCGCAACTGACACACGCACCCGTGAAACCGCAAGGGTCGGCTCTGATACCATTCTGTAACGTCCCGCCTCCTCGAGGCTAGGCCCGCTTACATCTGATAACTTTTCTAGGACATAGACTGCCCTCACAGACCAACATCAGTCTTTTCTGCGCACTTTGTCCTCACTCATGCGCCCCCGGGAAGAACTTCTCGGTCGGTCACCCATCGCTCTAGGTCAAGCACGCTTAACCTTGGAGTTCTTAAGAGATGGGCTTTCAGAAAAGAAGTTGCAACTTGTTGGTACGAGTATCCTATTAATCCTATTAAGCCCTGAGCCGGGGTGTTACATCATCCGCGTTCTCCAAATTTTGCTAAGCAACTTGAGTTGGTCCAAAAATAGAAGTTGAAGGTTATATTATGGAGAAGAGCATACAAAAAGTTGTTTAGAATTTGATAAGCTTTCTAAAAAGTCTAGAACCACATTTATTGGACATGTATAACTCTATTTATAACTGTTTAAAGTGGCATGTCAGTTTCTGTCTATGTTTTGGACAGAGATGTAATTATTGGATTAATTGACCCTTCTAACTGTAGAACCATCTTAATATGAGAATAAGAAAGTTGTAGGTAACTTTCTAAGCTTTTCAAAAAGTTATGGTTCATGTTTGTTGGAGGTCTAGAACTCCAGTTATGCTTCTCTGAAGTTCCTATCAGTTTTCTGTACCACTGCTGTTGGGTTGCATTTGCAGTTTTGCTTGTGCAATTATTTTCGTGGTGTAAATGATGTTTGATATGGTTGTAGTGAATACAAAAGTTGTAGCAAATTTTATGATCTTGCTTGTGTTCAAATTGTAAGGCCATAGGCCTGATAGTGTAGGAGTTACATGACTTTTAAGTCTTCTGTCAGGTTTTGATTGTATTCTGAGCAGATCTAAAAGATGCTAGTGTTTGATCTAGTTAGGATTTGAATGAGCTTTTGGTGATAATAACAAAGTTGTAGATAATTCATGTATCTAGCTGCTGTTAAAATTTTGTGGTATTTGGCCTTGTGGTTTGTGAGTTATGCCTGTTTAAAGTTGGGTTTCAGAAATGACTGCTTTCTGTCAATTGTGGACCAGTTTCTGTAAATGGATATATTTGACTTAGTTAACTTGAGAATCATGCTAAGATGATTAAATATTAATTGTAGAAAATTTCATAAGCTTTCTAGATTGTCTTGTTGCATGTCTTTCGGGTTAGTACAACTCCTGTTATGAGTAAAATTAGCTGCTGCTGTTTGCAGCCTTGACTCGTGATTGTCGTGAATAACTGGTTTGTCTTGAATGCTTATGTGATGCATCTTGTGTTACCATTCATCACATTCATACACATGCATCTTGCATCTCATCTAGGTGCGCTAGATGAACCACGTGAAGGACGTGATGTTGGAGCCAAACCCGAAGACGGTGTATGGAGGATCTATCCCGAAGATGGAAGGACTAAGCGAGTGCTAGGACCTGAGACATCACCAGGACAGTGCAAGCTAACTGAACTGACTTGTGTCAGATCCTAGGCAAGCCCCAGAGCATTCTAAGTCTCCCATGTTTTTACAAATATCTTGAGTATCTTTTATTGTTGATGATGCATTAAGTATAGGAATTGGTTAGAACCAATTGTTGCATTATATCCTTACCTTGTCCAGATAAAATCCTATGAATCCTAATTAAGTGTAGGATCGAATGATGCTTAGCTATGCTTAGACCGGTAGAAGTCGGGTGATTTCCTGTCACCTGCGAGATGTAGGATGAGCTCTAGTCACCGTTGGCTATATTTGCTATCATGAAAAAGAACCATGTGTTAATAATGAAAAGAGACCGGACGGGATGACGGTAGTGCAGCAACAAGGCATGGAGGTCTTAGGTGTGAATCTATCCCCGTCTGTGTCGTTTAAGGACCGATTCGCTGTACGTCCTCATGTCATGTTGAACGCATGCCTATCACTTAGTTGGCCGGATAACTCGTTCCGACCGCGAAGCCGAGTAGCTCAACTCAGGCCGGAAGACCGAGAAGTGAAAGTGCGCACCCTGGCGGTAGTAAGGATGTGCGGGGAGCTATTGGTGTAAGTCCGAGGTGAGATTGACCACACGGCAGAGTGGACTCCCTAAGGGTGCGGCGCTGCTCGGAGCCACGATTCCTGAGTCGTACCAAAGGTGACCCGAGGAAACCATTGATCAGGTGGATTGGGTGAGTGTTAGGAATACCCCTCCAGCTAGATAGGAATCGATTCGAATCGCCGTCTTTCTCGGATAGTGAGAACTTGACTGAGCAGCGACAACGTAGATTCACTAAATTTAAAGATATGGTTAAATGATGATGATGATGATTATTATGATAATGAGCCATGAAATACCTGATATGGTTATTATTGTTTGCAACTTAATTAAGTGATTGATTAGTACAGGTGCTAATATAGATGGTAGAGAATGGCTAAAAGTCACTGCTAGTATAGGTGGATAATGCTAATGATTACTCCAGCTTTTATGCAAAACGGTTGTCAGCTCAGCTCCACCAAATAAAGCCTTGCATAATCTTTGGTGTCACTTTATTTCTGGTTTACGACGGGTAAGTCTAGCTGAGTACATTCGAGTACTCAGGGTTTATTCCACCTTGTTGCAGGTGAAGTTCTCGGCCTGCTAAAGATGGTGGCTAACCGCCGGTGGGCTTGGTGACTCTATATTTATTTCTCATCTATATGCTTTTGTCTAAGGATGTCACTTATGCTAGCAATGTATTTGGAACTTATATTAATGTAATCATTTGAAAGCTATGTTGTTTTCACAAATTGGTTTTGAAACCCAAACTTGTGCTATTACTTGTGAACCCATTTGTAATATTATTTCCGCTGCAACTCTGCGTATGTGATGTGTATTTGCTTAATCACGCGATCTTGGTTGTGATGTTGATTTACCGAGGTCATTCGTGACACTCGGCGGACTACCGGGTTTATATAAGTGAAAGTATGCGCGTGTCAACGTGTTAGCGGGGACAGCCGTACTTGATCCTATATAAATTGGGCGGTTCTGTCACACGTTCCATAGTGGGGTTTAGCCTTCGCTACTCACATATTCGTATCCCAACAGTTCCCCCCTTAAGGGCATGGTCTGATGCGTGCGGGCCGCGACCCTCAATTTTTGCCATTGATATTGAGTTGCGGAGGCTTCCCCCCTTTCCCCCCTAGGTCGCCCGGATCAGACCGTTGTTGCCGTGATGTGTCACTTTCTTGTTGGTTACGGTGGCTCTAGAACCGACGCGTTGCTAGGCGGACGTGACCGTTGGGTCCAGAGGTTGAAGCATCCATCCATAGCCTATATAAGGGGACGGTGGGTGAAGACTCCCCCCCACGCCTACCTGAGTAATTGCTTTCATCCCTTTCGCTGCCTAAGCCTTCTTTCGCATTTAGCCTTCTCTTGGTTGCGACTTGTCTTCGCTCTTCCTTTGGTCTTCTTAGCGCTTTAGAGGTGGCTTCTACTATCTGCCCCCTCCCCACCGGGCTACCATTTTCGGTCCTTACTCCTGCCTCCTCAGTGTTAGGGCTAGTGGGTGGTCCGCGCACTACGAGAAGTGCATGGTTGCTATTGCGGAGGCCCAAGAGCTTGAGGAGGATCTGGCCGGTGT